CAGGATGGAGGCACCTGCACGGCACCCTGGAGCTGCTGGGTGAGTGGCGGGAGGGTGCCCCGCTCTAGGGGTGTCTGCGGGGACCTGCGGCGGAGAAAGGGTTGAGGGTTGTTGCGGTGTGTTGACCCTGGCTCGATGTCAGGCACTCGCCAAATTCCCTCTACAGCTCCCCTCCGCAACTGGGCAGGGGAGAAAGTTCATATATTGAGATAAGGACAGGGAGAGACCACTGGTCGATTACTGTCACGGCAGAGCAGATTCGATTTAGGGATATTAATTGAGTTTATTGCCAATCAAAATCAGAGCAGGATAATGCGAAGGTGGGGGGGGGAAACCCCGCAAATCACCTTTCCTTCAGCCTGCTCCACCTCCTCCCTTCCAGCGGCGTAGGGAGACGGGAATGAGGGTCAGTTCATCCCAGGTTGTTAATGCCGCTGCCCAGGGACAGGGCTCGGAGTCCTTCCCCTGGTCCCGGGGAGACAGTCCTGCAGGAGCCTCTCCAGCCTGCATCCTGCCCAAGGGCTGCAGTTCTTCACGAGCTGGGCGAGAAGTCAGGGCTGTGCCGGCGGTGGGAGCTGTGCGTGCCCGGTGTTCCCTGGCTGTGCTGGGCAGGAACTGAGCAGGGAGCCGTGGGGAGGGGGCTGAGAGCACCTGGGTGTGTCTGCCTTGGTCTCGCAGGTACCGAGAGCGCATCGACGTGTGTGTGGGCTGATAGGAGAAAACTCGGAGAGATGTGGCAATTAATTAAAGGTCTAGAAAGCAATAAATAGAAATCTAGAGAGGAAAATAAATTAAGCCTTCAAATATGAAAATACGTTGTTGTGGATAAGGAAAAATTTTTCACCATTGAAAACGAGTGTGTTTTCTCAGTGGAAGTATAGCTAAGCACTGAAAAAGGCTTTTATATTTGATTATTTTGGTCTGTTTGGCAAGTCCACCACATTTCTGCCATCTTACTCTCCTAGTAATGTTTCAAGTAACTGGAGAAGGGTGTGTGATGTGTCTTTTATGTAAGTCTATTTGTTTTTTTAATGGAAAAATAGAGTTTATTTATTGCATATCTAGCATCCTTTCCTACACAGTCAAGGTGTGACGTTTTGTGAACAATCTTTCAAGATGTGTTTTTCAGGAGTTTGTTGTTACACAATTATCAGGCGGATCATTTACCCTTCCATGTTTTCCTTTAAGAGATGTGGGAAGAGTTACAGATCCTGAAATGAAATGTGATCTTTCCCTACTTGCTCTGTAAGTTACAACTTGTAAAACGTTTAAACAATGATCAGGTGCATTGTTAGGAGGTCCTGGTGTGATGCTGAGCATGAAATACCTGAACTCTTTGACGTTTAAGTGCACTTGCAAAAAAGTGAGCTTTCATTAACCTCCTGTAATGAAACTCAGTAGTAGTTCAGAGACAATTTAATCATTGTGGTTTAGACCTCAACATTCCCTTCTTTCCAGCATTGGTTGCCTTTGCTGCTTTGCAGTATGAAATTTTTTTCCTTTGTAAAACCTTCTGTGTGTGATATAGGGAAGCCGATCCCTTTCTTGAAATAAATGTTACTTGTTTCCAAATTTTGTTAGAAAAGGTTTGCTTCTTTCTAAATATAATAGTATGCAAATATAATACAATGCAGGATAAGCTACTCCTAAATTGATCTTATTATTTAACTCCTTAGATAACTCTTGTCTACAGTCCTTCCAAACAATCTATTGTGTTTTTTATGTTGAGAGTACTTAATATATAGCTGGAGTTAAATTTCTAAATTTGGATATGCAAATGCCTAAAATCTTTTAATTCCTTACAGTAAGGTTTAAAGTGTTAGGGTGGATAGATGACACCTATAACTCATTCAGGCTTTCCTCATTCAACTCTCCTAGTGTCCTTACAGCTTTTCAAGGTGGTTTCTATTTTGGTGACACCATTTTTTAAACTTTATTGTTACCTCTAAAATTAAAGACAAGAAGTCATAACTTCTCTGGTAAAATACAGCTCATTTGGGCATAAAGCTCACTCTTGGTTCTTAGTTTGACAATGTAAATTTAAGCAAATTTAATTTTAGCATTAGTTTTATTTATCTGCTTTTCTGTTTCTGAAAAAGCCACTATTTGAAGTTTTGGTTCATGTGGATCTAGTTTTTCATGTCACATGAAATTTTTGTTTCTTTCTGTGTTTCTGTCCTTGTTTGTGGTGCTGGTAGAGGAAAAGTTGTTTTGTGTAATTAAAACAGTTCAGAATGGAATTCCTAGTTTGTTTGTTACGGAAAAAGAGACAATAGAAAGACTAGAATGACCTCTTTATGTTAGAGGTGTGTAAATTTTTTGGTTTTAATGTTTCATAACATTATCATTGGTGTTAAGTTGCGGTGCATTTTTCAATTCTCTGCTGAATACAGAGCATGTGTAGGAAGTTACGAAATATCTCTCTGGTGGGACAGGGTAAATATGCCTTGAATCCCTTCATGGATAGGGAAGGCAGCAGAAATGTTCCCAGATTCAACTTGACAGTTAAAACTTGTCACCAAGAACAAATTCTCTTGGATACTCAGAGAGCAGTCTTTAAATAGCAGTCTCTTTTTCATGTGAAGTTTTTTTGGGTTCTTTTTAAGTCTTCTTCCTTTATATTCAGATAATTTATGTGTAATAATGCAGTTGCTGTTGATAGAAGTAAAAATCACTGGGTGGTGACTAGAAGTTCAGAAGTTTTGCTTGCTTGTGGTTCTGAATTCTAATATGTCCATGAGCTTAGTCTTTGAGATTCTCTGCAAATTGCCAGAACTTTTTGCTGATCCCCAATTGCAAAGCAGCAATGTTTACTTCCCAAGGTGCTTTTGAGGGCTGCCTGTACAGTGCAACTAGCTTACATAAACACAGTGATTCCTTTTATTGTCTCCTTTTTTAATTAATGAGGGCAAATAATATTTGGTGAAGGCAATTCTACACTGTAAGGTTGCTTTTCTTTGAGGAGGCACATTTAAGGAGGTTAAAGCACTTTGAGTACTTCTAGCACTTTGAGGAGGTTTTTGTATGTGTTTAGTCATTAGCTAAAAAGCAACAGCTTTGAAAGGCTGTTGTGCTGGTGTTCTTGTGTATCTTGTACTGAACAAGGCTCTTAATTGCAACAGCACTGAACTCTGAGCATGGGTCTCTCTGGGCATAAGCATTAAATGGATGCACAAGGTCCGGTCTTCTACTTTGTATCCAGTTTTATTTATTTGTTCAATTCATGGATACTTGCTGCTGGAGCTCCTCTTCTGACTTGATGAAAGGACCAGAATGGATTGTATGTTCTGTGGTAGTTGCTCATAACATTGAAGGGAAAATGTTGCAGTGTCACAAATTTGTTGCTCAGTTTTGTATGTGCCAAATATGAAGCATATTCTGGGAAATGGATCAAGTAGCTCTTTATGAAAGAGAAATGTGAGCCACCATGTTTAAAAATCAATTTTTTCCTCATTAAAAACGTGGATTATTTTCACTTTTTAAAGTGAGGTCTGTCCACTAGTTCTCAATAATCCTAGATATTTGTGGTATATGACTTCAAAATAATGTTTTGATTGTCAAAGTCAGACTTGTCAAGTTAGGCTAATGAAACTGAGAACACTTCTTTGCATCCTGTAATGTATCATAATGTATAATGTTTTCTACTTGCTGTTATTAAGAAATTATTTTTGAGTAAATATGTATAGTATAATTATTATATGAGATAATAATCTATTATATTTATATATATAATCTATTATAATAATAGATTGTTAACTCATACTTTAGTTTTTCAGTCATACTACAAAACTTTATTTGGTAAATGAACACAGGTAAGCATTCACATACATAACATAGTTCATTTTTCTGTATATCAGTCCTAAACGAAAAGTTGCAAGAAACTTTTTTAAAGAATTGCATGGAGGTAATTCAGATGAGAACTATGAGTGTTACAAGGAACATTGTCTGGATACATTTCTAAACATGACAGTCATGAGTAATATTAAACTGAAATTACCATGGAAAGACTGAGACAAAAAATGTGTATTTGCTCATGCAGTGTTCTGGGAACATCAACCATGCAATTGAGCTCATTTCCACAAAACTCAAGGGTTTTGGGTTGTGTGATTCTGATTGTGTTGCTTACTTGGGGGCTTTAGGGAATAACTAACTCACTTTCTGTTCTTGGTGCATTTTAAAATGTCAGGATCATTGATGGCTGCTTAGGTCATTAGAGGTTTGCTACAATGTTTCCATTTCACATTTTTAAAAAAATTATGGAGTGGTTTGGCTTGGAAGGGACTTTTAAAGGTCATCTAGTCCATCGCCCCTGTAGTGAGCAGGGACATCTTCAAATACCAGGTTGCTCAGAACCCCATCCAACCTGGCCTTGAATGCTCCCAGTGGCTAGGCATCCACCACCACTCTGGGCAGCCCATTTCTGTGTTTCACCTCTGTCATTGTAAAACTCTTCTTACATCCAGTCTAACTCCTCTCAATTCAAACCATTCCAATGCTATTGGCCCAATTAAGAGGTTGGTCCCCATCTCTCTTAAAAGCCCCCTTTAGTAACTATAGAAAGACTGCAGTAAGGTCTCCCTGGAACCTTCTCTTCTCCAGACTGTGCAGCTCCAATTCTCTTGATGTTTCTTCATACAATAGGTGCTCTCTCCCTCACCATTTTTGTGGCTGTCCTCTGGATCCCCTCTAACACATCCATATCTTTCCTATGCTGAGGATTCAGGAGCTAGATGCATTTCTCCAGGTGGGATCTCACCAGAGCAGAGTAGAGAAGCAGAATCACCACCCTTGAGGTGCTTGCCATGCTGATTTTTACATGTCCCAGCCTTTTGGACTGTGAGCCACAACCTGCTGCATGACAGCTTTTCATCTGCCAGTGCCTCTAAGAGACTTGTCACCAGTTTCCATTGAGATGATGACCACTACCCTCTGGATCCAACCCTTTCCTCACCAACAAAAGTCTACCCATCAAATCCTTATTTCATCAATTTACAGAGAACAGTGTTGTAAGTCCAGAGAGGTGGCATCCATAGCCCTTCTTTGTTCACTGGTGTAGCCATTGTATCATATAAAGCCACGAGGTTGGTCAGGCGGGACTTGCCCTTGGTGAAGATGTTCTGGTGTCCTTAATCACTTCTCTGTTCTCCATGTGCCTTAGCACAGCTTCTGGGAAAAAAAAAATGGGCAAGGAAAAAAACTAAAAGAATTTTGAGCTGAAAAGCAGATAATTAGGAAAAAAATGAAAAATTATTAACTTCTAAGTTTTGATTTTTTTAGCTGTTTCTGACTACTCCAAGCAATACAGCAACTAGGAGAAATGTGGCATTGTTTCCTATTGAATGATAACAATCCTTATTGCTGGGTATTAGAGAAAAGGGACTATGGAACAGAAATGAACCTTGCCAATATACAATGTATACAATGTACCTTCTATGTGTTTATTTCTGTTCTGTAACTGAACACAAGTTCAGATATAATAGTTCAAGAAAGAGCCTCAAAAATCAGGTACTGGAAAGCTGCTTTTACAAAATTGATCTAAAAAGATGCTTCTTTTTTTTTGCCTCATGACTATATTTAAAAGTCTATAAAGGTAGTCTCTCTCATATTAATGTCAGAATACTCCTTTGGTATAGAGGATGAGATGACAAGAGGTGCAATTTGCTGTGAGGCTAAGGACTGTGCTGTATCCTATGCTCTGCACTCAGAAGAATCCCACTAGCATGGCACACAGTCACTGTTACACAGTGCTGCTTCTGCATGAGTTTATGAACCAAGTGAAGTTACTGAAACTTGAAATCACGCAATTTCTGCAAAGTAGATATAATTTTCTAGTAAAAAGGATAAATAAACATTAAAAAAGTTTATCAGTGGAAGAGGTATATCATCAGTGTCTGGAATATTAGGATCACAAAGGCTTTATTAATTTAAAAGATCTGCTTTAATCTGGAAAAAAATCCACAGCCTGAGTCAAGGAGGAGAAGGATGACAGGAGAAAGGAGGATGTAGTGCTTTTGGTGGATTCCAAGATGATCAACAAAACTTCAGGTCTGGGAATTCAAGGTTTTTTAATTTCCATTTTTCTTTTAATGTGCCTTTTTTTCCTTTGAGCTCTTTGGTGGACATGATGTATATAAGCTTAAATGAGAAAAAATGAGCATCATAGTGAATCTTTTGTTCAATTATCTTTCAGATACTTGCACTTTTACTTGAATTTCTCAGTTAAGCAGTTAACTGAGAAAAAAAGTATACTGAAAAAGTATTCAGTTGAGATAACCACGTTCTTGTTTTGCAGGTACACCTGGTATTAAAGTTCTTATGCCTGCACTTTCTCCAACAATGGAAGAAGGAAACATTGTGAAATGGTTAAAAAAGGAAGGTAAGACAGAATTTTCTGTGGTTACATTTTCCATAATTTTTCAGCCAAGTAAATCTATCCTGTAAAAATAAGGTAATTCTTCCTGGTTATAGATGAGTATTTTGAAGAAAAATGTTTGGTGTATGGATGATGTCATCATGAACTATACCTGCTTTTAAATTGTTCATTCTTGAAATGTTTTCTTGCTTAATTGTCTTCCAAAGGTTGCATATTTTCAAAAAATTTCCATCAGGCTGTTCCAGGGTGTGAGTGTTTGTGCTGTTTTTAATTCCCAGTGTTGTCAGGCTGCTTAGTAGCTTTTGAAGTCTGAGAGCCATTGGCTTTGGCAGGGTCTCTCTTTCATTATTCTGCTGTGTTATGGAATACCATGAAAGATATGATATTTTTGAATATCTTTAAAAATATCTTATTTATAGTCTGCAGTTAAAACCAAGAGAAATTTAAATTACTTTCATAACCCTGGTACCAATTTTTTAGGGAATTTTTTCCCTAAAAGAACCCAAACTGAAAACCAACCTAGTCATCCAAACAAAGCCTGAACTGTTTGCTCTGGCAGCTGTGTGCTTCTGTTGAAATCTTTTGGAGCAACTGGATAAAATGTCTGTCAAGTTTTGTCTTCAAGGTAGGTTGTATGTAAATGAAAAATGATCTGTAGAAGAGTCAGCAGTTCCTGTTCTGTCAGGAGACTTTTGTCCTGTGTACTTCTACCCTGTCTCTTCTTCAGTTTAACATGAAACCTAAATTTTGACTGTAGTTTTGGTTTCCAAGCAGCTGTTCATTGATATAGGATGCATTGCAGGGTTTTGGATAGCAGTAGGAATATTGTTCACAGGCATTTTTAGATTTCCTAAAGAGATGATTACATCTGGAGAAAAGAAAATACCTTAAAGCTCATTATCTTTGACAGACTCAATTTGGGTAGCTAAACATGTTTTGACTATTGTGCCTAGATAAGCCTTTTCCTTTGGCTTATCCTTTTAAATGCTGATACAGCTTCCATTGTTGTATTACTGGAGAACTTTGGTTTTCCTACATTTTGAATACATTTTGAGAGATGGCTGGAAGACAGCTTCTTGCTCCGGTAGTGGACTTGGCCTTTTGCTCATGAAACTTTTAGTAAGAATTTCTGCAGGATTTACTGGGAACAATTCAGGAATTTGTATATTAAAAAAATTGCACCAATGTTCTTGAAACTTGAAGCTTCAGTTAATCAAGTCCAAGATGATGCAGAGAGGAAAGAATGATCCAAAGTCCTTTTTATATTCTTTAGTTATTAGTAATTGTAAAACATTGAATGTCAACAGTAGCTTGTTTTACAGTAATTATAGCATTCAAAATTTCAAGAGAAAGAGAAGAGAGCATGGTAGGAGTTGAAGTAGATTCCACTTTGCTCCCCAACATGAATGAATCCACTTTCCTTATTAAAAAGTGTTAGAATTTAAAAGCCATACAATGGTTTTCTCAGTCTTTCCACTAGCCCTCCACCCTAACATAAAAGAAAAGAAAGCTTCACACCTATTTTAATTAAATTAAAATCAAATCTTAATTGATGATTAGACTTTCAAAGAAAACTATTTTAGTATTTTTATTGCTCTGTTTTTTTTTGTTTAGAAAGAAGACCTAATCCAAATATAGTATTTTGTCTTATTGGCCACATCTATGACCATAATTCCTATAAAAGGATCATAAGTCCTATCAATACTTTTGTTTCCTCTAAGAGTCTGGACAATTAACATAAAGACAATATTAAAAGAAGATAAATTTTGTAGAAAATAGTGAGGTGATTTAATGCTTACATGCCTCTCTGTAAGGAATGATCTTAACTACTTAATTCCCTAGAGTGTTTACCATGTAAGAGTAGTGTTATTGCTGAATATGACAATCTAATTAATTGACAGTCTAATGTCCAAGAAAATAAATACTTTGTAATCAGTTGACAGAAGCAAGCTGCTTGCATATGAAATGTTTCTCCCACTGTATAACCAGAAGGGGTCAGTATAATACTATTTTGATAATCTTTCTGTTCTTTGTGTAAATATCAAATGTTTTCATTCTGTGGTTTCACAGGATGGACAGATAATTTCACTACTGCAGAAGGGAAAGTGCTGGAATTTAATTGATAGCTTTACTTTTCCTTCTCATTGTTAATGCAGTTTCATGTTGATTCCTGTGGGTAATAAAGTCATTCTCACAAAGATAAAACTATGTTTCTAAAAACTTGTATTTATTATGTATGAATTTAATGTTGATGAAAGATGATAGACTGACAGCCCTGGAGACCAAAATCCTCTTGTTAATGTGGGCAGAAAACACAAGATTCAACAGTGTTGGCAGCATCCACACACAGTGTAACTCTGCTACCTTTTGAGATATCAGCTCCAGGGACTTCAGTGTCTGTGTTCAGTCAACTCTGATTTTATTTGCAACATTTAGAAATGCAGTTTGTATCTTGCGATTTGGATACTTGTCTGTCAGTAATTGAACACAACACCAAGGCTATTGGATGCCAATTGGATCTCCTGGAAAGAAACTTGGCTTCAGTAGAGATTCTAGGCATTCAACTTAGCTGTGGGAATTTAATCATTAAAACAAAATCAAAAACAAACATACAAAAATTAAAAAAAATAAAACAACAAAAAGCCTGAAGCCCACTCAATTTTTCAAGGGCATTATGTGTAGTCTCAGCTCTGGTTCAGGCAGCTTCTGTTGCAAACACTGCTCTCTCAGTTTAAAGTGTAAGAACAAAGATATGCTTTGCAAAAATGTTCTAATTATTGGGAAAGCTGATTTGTATTTGACATCAAACTGGGCATCAGTTAAGACCTATCACATATATTGCAATCTCTAGTGAAAGTAACTACGGTCCTTTCTGTTGCGCTTGGGTACTGAAACATCCGCAGGACTTGAATGCTGCAGTGAAGTGAATTCTTATACTGCGTTTATTCAGTTGCCTTTCAAATTTGTGGTAATTTTATGGCTGCAGCAATGAGAGGAAAACAAAAAAAGTAATGGAAATGTGGTTTATCCAGTTCTCTGAAGACTTTTCCTGTTGCCCTCCCTGTGGAAGACAAAGTTAGTTTTCCGTGAACAGCCTTAGGTACCCAAGTTGAGATGTGAGGTGTGACAAACACAAGGATGGCGATATTTGCTTGGCTGGCCTACCCTGCTGGAGGTACTGCTGTTGGTCTCTGAGCACTGAGATTTATTTTTAATGGTGCAGAATGCTTATATTCTGATGGCAGATTAAGATACAGAGTTAACCTCCTTTCTACTTGCCAGTCTTAGCTCTGCAAATTACAGAATTTGCCCAACAATTTGATTTTTTAACAGCTGAGAAGTACTTGCCTAATGATCTGATATATATGGCCTACTTGAATTAATGATCCAGTGAAATTAAAACACTTGTATAGAGCCTGGAGTTTTGACTTTCTCTTATAAACTGTTCATGCTCCAGTTATTGCAAAGTGCAATGTGGCTGTTAGATTATTACATTAAAAATATGAAGTATATTTCTCTATCAATTTCTGTAATAGGAGCGTTTATGACTTATAAAACTATGTAGGTGACTGTGCTTTTGATGTTTTCATTTAACAAAAGTGAGGCACAGCACCTCATTTTCCCTTTCTAATTGGTGTAGTCCTGAAGCAGGAATTTTTTTTTTAATTTTTTTTTTTTTTAATATAGTGTTGTCTCTTTACCTAAATGTGGGTGGTAACTAGGTTTTAATTCTGCTCCTTAAGCACAGTAGAGTGATACCAGCTGTTAAGCTAAATGCTTAGACAGTTTATGCTGTTACAGTGTTTCTGGTAATGGGGAAATACTAAAATTTTACTTCATATAAAATTGTAGGCATGTTTTAGGCTTGTATGTGTTGTGTCTGTAAGGGAAAAAAACCTGTATTTTGTTGGAAGCCAAAACATTTCAACTACCTCATAGTTTTTACTGTAATGGCAGTTTAATGTTGGACAGCTAGTCAGTATTGATTTGTTGAAATAATCCAAACACATAATATCTTTATCATCTGCTAGCAGATACAGATATTCTTCAAAAGCAAAGGAAGAGTATGCTTCAAAATTAATCTTGGATATGTGTAATGTAGCAAAAGCAATTTCTAGCACTTGTGCATATTTTTATTTCGCAAAGTCAGTATGAATGAATGAATGCTTAAAAAGACCTTTCTGAACTATATAGGAGATTAAGCAAGCTTACAGCTGTGCTTTCCCAAAGACATTAAAATTCCTGAGGTTTTTATTTGAATGTCTTTGATAGTGTAGACACCAGTACAGAACTACGATAGCATTGTCCCAAGCAGTTTTATATAGCTTGCTGGTGGCTAGCAGTGCATGTGGAAGGCTCAGTATTTTAATCATGGCAGTGCTATTGATTATGGGGTTCTGGAAATAAATTTCATTGTGTGTGTACTTCCTCTTGGAAAGCCTGCTGTAAACATCGGTACTTGGAACATGTCAGTATTCTACCACAGCAGTTTGTGGTTCCTGAGTCTTGGTGATTTTATTTGGAAAGGAAAGGCACTACATGATAAGTAATGATGGGGGATAAACTGGCTATAATATATATTAAAGAATACAGAATGACTATATTATATGATGAATATCTATCTTCCATGGTTAAACAAATCTGAAAGGAAGTTTAGGGTAAGTATTCTTAAGTTCTGTTGTGTTTTGCAGGTGACACAGTGAATGTTGGAGATGCATTGTGTGAAATTGAAACGGACAAAGCAGTGGTTACCATGGAATCAAGTGATGATGGCATATTGGCTAAAATACTGGTAGGAATCATGCATTTCTCAGTAGGGTATTATAACTTCAGACTGTTGTTTAGCATATTGCCTCAAAAATTAGTTTTGATAGCTAAATTTCTGCTCAGCATTCAGAAAAATGCACTTGCTTGCATTCCTGGAGAAAAATAATTGCTCTGTTTGTGCCACACATCTACCAGACTGTTGGTATGTGTACATGATTCTTTATATATTTAATGGATTTTCACTTAACCTTATTGACGTGTTTGTTTTGTATGCTTTACACCTGGTGAATTATGTCCATGAAATATTGTAGTTTATAACACCTCTTACTTGGCGTTATAGGAAAACAATTAGCAATCTGTTGGAATATGGAATTTTGGGCGGTACTTTACCCAGGATGTGTTGTCTCTGCGCTAGGTTATCTTGTGCCAGTCATTCAGGGTGGAATGTTATACCAGAACAGTTCTTGGAGTTAATAATTTCCTCTATCAAACTTAGATTGATTAAGCTTAATGTAAAGAGCAAGAACTGGGATGAGTTGGAAATTCTCCAAACCAGTCTCAGCTGGTGGTATATTGCAGCTGTTTCTTCTCTCCCTCCACAATAATTAAACAACAGGCTAAATTGCGAGGATTTGGAATAAAATAAATAAAAGTATGAGAGATGTGTACTTACAGTAAATATCATGTCATTTGATCAGGGAGGTCTCATCTAGGGAATATCTGCCCCGTGAGGTGTGGATCACATAATCATACAAATTAGGCATACTGATAATAATTGCAGTCCAGCTGCTTAGGAAACAGCAGAATGGGCACGGGTACAAACTGGTTCCTGGAGCCGTGAGAAAATCCTACCCTACTGACAGTGAGACATGTGTTTCTGCTGCTATTACAAAAGCTTTTTGGATTGGTATATTAGATTTCCTATCTCTGCTACTGTTGCATTTTCTTACATCAGCATGTATTTGCACAGTTATCCTTTGCAAAAATAGAAAAGGGAGAGTAATTTTCTGTGGGGCAGCATTTGAGAAGCGATGTTCTGTTTGGTATCTCCCTTTTTTGTGTAAGCAAAGGCAGCATCCTTTGCAAATGTGAAAGTCTCCAGATAGATGAGAGGCTGGGATAGGGAGGAGAGGGGATGTGAGATGGAGCTCAGCTGTAAATGAACTCTATCAGGGTTTATAAAAATTGTCATTAGTATTCAATTTCTGCAGGATAACTTGCATTTAAGCACTAGTGTATATAGAAAGAGGTTTTTAAATATTTTTTCTTCTTTTAATTGCGTTGCTAAATTTGTGTTCAACTATGGAACAACACATTTAATAGGTTTCAGAGGATCTATTCTGCCATGCCAGGATGAAGTCTCACATCAGACATATTCTTTAATCTGTGTTTAGTCTCCATGTAGCTATTTAAATAATTGCTGGGAAATGCTTTCATCATTTTTAAAATCTCTCTTCTTCAGTTTTGAATGTTTCTGAAAATCAATTTCCCCCTAATAGCCTTGACAAAAATCTTGTGCAACCTATTCTGCATTTGCAGACACTACTTTATTAGATAATGTGAGGGGGAGATACGGGGATTCTCTCGGTCAAAAGTATTAAAGAATTAATCTTAGAGAGGTATTAAAAAAAAATTGAAATTTACTAAGTTTCTTTAATACTAATTTATGATGGCTACGAGTAACATTAGTATTTCAGAAGCTGTGGGTTTTTTTGTTTCCTGTCTTGTATTTCAAATGCATTGTAAATTTCAAAGTTTCTCTTTGTGTATTGCTCTTGTGGCACATTTTTTGATAGATCAAAGGCAGACTTTCCAGCAGCTACATGATATCAGTGTCATGGAGCAGTGACATTCAGCCTTAGTTATATCCATCTCATCCAGTAACAATCCAGTGTCAAGAGCTGAACCTGAGAAGATGTCAGAGGTAGAAAATAACTATAGTGTCTTTCAGAATAAGGGAGGAGGGACAGCTTTATTGGAGCAACATGAACAGATCATTATGCAAACCAAATTTTTAATGGATTCTTTTAATCCTTGGAATCTAGAAATGGTGGGCATAAGAATTAGAGTACAGAATGGCTTTTATTCCAGTCTCCTAAAAAGTATAAAAAAACCTGATGTTTCAGCAACTAAAATAACAAGAGAGCAGTAAGATCAGGAATTTTCATATTTTTTTTCTTTTTTCCATAGTTCAGATGTGATCCTTGGTTGTCTTTCTGCAGTAGCTGGTGGATATTTCTGCTCTGTATTAGGTTATCAGTAGATGTTTGTGGAAGGTTTATAAAACGAGCTGTGCCAGGTTTGTGGATGGGGTGATGATTTCGTATTAAAAAGATTGTCCTTCCAAGGACAGAAGTTTCACTTGTGGTGTAGCTGATGGGAATTCAAGAGTGTTTTGTGCCTCTGAACTAGCATCTGGCTGAATTTCATTCACTTACTAAAAGAAATGAGAGAAAAATGGTGTGCCTTTTGATGGCAGCTACAATTCTGAACCATCTTGATGGAGTTCAATATGGAAAGCTTGAGTCAAATGAGCACACTGTCTGCTTAATGCTTTGGGTTTTGTATTTAAAGATAGGAGGTTCATTAGGTTAAATTAATTCAACTTCTGTAACCCTTCTTGCTTTTTCTGAACTGTATAATCTATGTGTGGTTTAGAAAGAGCAGGCTAAGAGCGAAATAGAAACTCATGCATATATATTTCTTCTCTATCTGAATAGGTCTTTTATATGATCACATCTGATTTAGTGTCAAATGCATTAAAAGATTAAATAACTGAATGAAATATTAGATGGTAATTTCAGAATGAATATTATTCTTCCAGTAGAGTTTCTTCTTAGCTTAACACTGATTTTTTTTTTTCACCTAAAATACAGTTCAATTTGGAACAAAAAAGATAATGGATGATTGTTTAAGAACTGTAATTAATTGTTGAGGAATAGACTTTGAGCAGGTACTGGTTGTGCAGCTGCAGTGGGAGCTGCAGGTTTTGCCCTGGGTGGGGGATGTGGTGGGAGCACCAGAAAAAGGGCTTTGACCTGGTGCTGACCCTTTGCACAGCAAAGGGCACAGGGACCTGTGGCACTGGCCAGGTGACTGGACACTGGGACACAGCAGGAGCCAAGGGCTCAGCAGGAAGACCCCAGACTATCACAGCACAGACTGAGGATATGAAAGCACAGGGATTCCTTTGTTTGTGGTCCTTCCCCAGAAGCACCAGCTTGAGCTGTTTTTGTGTTACTAGGCCACAGTTAGAATTGCTTTAGGGATCTGAGATTCTGCCATGGGAAACCCAGAGTCAATCTGGTGAGGAAGCCCTGTCTGAATGTGAGCCAGGGCGTGCAGGGCGCCAGGCAAGGCACCCTGGAGGTCACTGGAGCCACCCACTGCAAAGGGGCTTTGGTCCCTGCTCACGTGGTGGTACTGTGACTGCCAGAGTGGCTCCTGGATGTTCAGCCAGGACTGTACAGGTTTCCCTAATATTAGTATCCGTTACCATTTTCTCATTCACGACCTAAATGAGAATTGGTATGGAAACCACTTTGTATAAAAATTCCATTGCAGAATGAGCCAGCATAAATTCCATCCCCTTTTCTTCAAAGTGGAGGAAATCAGTATTTACTTTATTATATATTTGTTAGTGACTAAAGCACTATTCTGCAGTGGCAAAAGTCCCAAGGGAATTTTACTTCTCTGTTCACTTTATCTCAAATTTTTTCTCCCTGGCATGGTCACCTGTGCTTTGTTGGTTTGTCAGCAAAGCTAGGATTTTTTTGACTCTTCTTAGCTGCATAGAGCCATAGAATCATTGAATGTTTTGGGTTGTAAGGGCCCTTAAAGATCATCTTATATACCAGGGGTGCCATTCACTAGATCAGGTTGCACATGGCCCCATCCAACCTGGCCCTGAATGCTTCCAGGAATAGAGCATCCACAGCCCTTATAGGCAATGTATTCCAGTGCTTTACCACCTTTGAGTAAAGCATTTCTTTCTGACCTAAAACTGCCCTCTTTGATTGTAAAACCCTTGCCCCTTGTTCTGCCTGTATAAAAAGACATGTATATGTTCTTCTTCCCTTTTATAAGACCCTCTTGAATACTGGAAGCCTTCTATAATGTCTTTCCAAAGCCTTCTCTTCTCCAGGCTGAGTAACCCCAGCTCTCTCAGCCTGTCTGTAGAAGTGCTGCAGCCCTCTGGTCATCTTCGTGGCCCTCCTCTGGACCCACTCTTAACAGGTCCATGTCTTGTTGAGGACCTCAGACCTGGACACAGCACTCCAGGTGGGGTCTCACAAAAACGGAGTAGAGGGGCAGAATCATCTCCCTCGCCCTTCTGGCCACACTCCTGCACTGCCTTTCTGGGCTGCAAATCCACACTGTTGGCTTGTGTCCAGCCTCTCATCCCAGAACCCTAAAGTCCTTCTACTTATTTCAGCTTTCTACATCTGAGATTCTGGGGTTCTCTGAAGTTTATGCAGAGTTGTTTGTTGTTTTTTTTATTGTGGGTAATGGAAATGTAGCAGTGACTCAAAAATCCAGGAGATCAAAAGTTAAGCAAAATTGTAACAATTTTTTTTTTTCTATTCTCATTCTGAGCTGCAAAGGCTCTGTGTATGAATAGTTACTTTGATTTCTGAGTGCTAACTTTAGGTGTATGGGATTTGTGGCATAATTTAATGTTCCTCTCCTTATAATAGCAGTTATAATTAATTTCAGTCTTGAAATACCTTATTAATAGTAGCAATAAAATGGGATATATCTTACTGATGAATTGTCATTCATATGCCTGAAACTTCAACATCTACTGGTTTTAGTCATATTAGGGCACACAGTATAATATGTAACTTAATGTTCTTAATTGAGGTGGAAGAAGGAAGCAAAAATGTTCGCTTGGGCTCTCTAATTGGTCTTCTGGTAGAGGAAGGACAGGACTGGAAGCAAGTTGAAATACCAGCTGATGCTGCTGAGCCGTCTTCTGTGGCTCCACCAGCACCTGCACCTGCCTCAGCTCCTGCAGCTCCTCCAGTTTCAGCTCCTCCTAAACTGCAACATCAGCCTGGGAAATTGCAGTAAGTTTCTATGTTTGTCATGAAATGGAACTCTTCATTAGATCATTAGATCTGAACCAATAAATATTTTTTGTCCCTTTTTACCTAGTAGAAGGCTGTTAGTTTGAGAGTGTTTCAGTCTGATGTGAGATGATAAACCTTGCAGGCCTAGACTATTTCTTTGCTCATAAAACTGGTAAGTCAATTCAAACAACATAATGTTATTAAAATTAAATTTAAATAATGATTTTATTCTGTCCTGCAATTGAATTATGAAGGATTATAAGCTTACAGTTAGAAAGAAGTTGTGTTAATACAGGATGGAAATAGCACTTATGCATCAGATACTAGGTGTACTTATGCCTTGTTTTCTATTTATTTGGGGAGGAAAAAATAAAGAAATGGTACATTCTAAGGTCCTTCCAAGCTACTGTATTTTTGATATTAGAAAAAAATTATTCTAATATTTTCATAACAGTGCCAAAAAACTTAGTCGGTTTATGTGCTCTTTGTTAGTTTGGTTTGGATCTGTTGGTATTGAAAACATCTTGGAGGAGGGGTCAGCTCTAGAGTGTTAGTCAGGTAACAATAATCCATAATCACTTTGTGTCCCAGGATATATCCTGTTTGGAGGTATCACTCCTTATTTGTGATTATTTTTTTTTCCCAAACCTTATTATCTTTTCTATCTAGTTTGCTGGGTTCTAAATGCTGCCAGCATTTAGGCTTTTCTCATGCAGGTGGAAGACAACTGAGGTCATTGCCCAGGCATTACCTGGGCAGAAGGAGGATGATCCACAAAAGGATCCTTGAAAGGATTATGTCTTTCCTTGCAGTACCAAAGTCAGAAGTGCTGTCTCACTGCAACTGTGAGAGATAGATCAGCATGTTTGGAACCAAATGATCATTTAGGACATGGGGTTTTTTTGGCAAGGGCTTAATGGACCATTCTTAAAATTCAATGAGGTGCAAATATAGTCTCCTTTAGGAAATAGTTGATAGGAGATTTTGTGGAAATACTTTAAACCAGATATTTATTCTTTTGAGTGTATTGTTCCTTTGCATCTAAGAATTCTAAAACATTTTCTCTAAATGCTGGATTTTCTTCTCATTTCAGAAAACAAATCACATTAAGATGCATTGGGTACTCTGTGCCAACGTGCTGTGCTTTGTAGTTGACCGGAGAGAAATATAGTTTCTCATGATGTACATTAATGAAATAAGTTAATATTACTATGGAAATATTTTTTTTTCCTCTCATTTCTTCAGGGTTCGCTTAAGTCCTGCAGCTCGCAACATTCTGGAGACACATGGACTAGATCCAAGCAATGTTTCACCTACTGGACCTCGAGGAATCTTCACTAAAGAGTATGTAGATAATTTGATAAACCTTCAACTTCTGATACTAGAGCAACCTCCATTAGGTTAAAGTTTGCTTATTAAAAAAGCTAAGTCTTTGTTCCATTTTTTTTCTCTGGATAGGTTTAGTTGACTTTGAAAAATCTGTTGAAAAGATAGGGAGAATGGGTTAGGAAGTATTTGCAGAAGCCCTTAATTAGACAAACCCAAAACATTTATTTGTATTTTTTAAGTCACATCTTAGCTGTGTGTTACTGCTGTCACATTTCCTGCAGATCAGCCTAGTGGTGGCTGTTGCCTCCTAAGCACAACTATTAGCTACCACTGTGGATCTTAAGAATTTTAGTTCCCAAGATGCATACAGAGCCAAAATAAAATATCAGTGGCCTGATATTCTTCCATTCATTTTCTTCAGATCTTTTACTTTTTTTGCTGCAGTTCTGTTCTAAAATCTATCAGGATTTCATTTTTTCCCATTTTTGTTAGGCTGGGGGGAGCAATGAATGGAATGAATTCCAGAATTCTGTTTTTCTCCCACTTTTGTTTGTCTTCTCTATGATTTAAAGAATGTTTGTTGACAAAGCTGTGGTTTGTTATGATCTAGTAGTTTTATGTACCTTTCTGAGTATTCCAATGTAATGATGGGCACTCAAGGCTTTGAGTGACAAATTTGAGTGTAAAAAATGTGGTAGATCCAGTGCATTTAGCCTTGAAATGATGCATTCTCTTCACAGGAATATGTATGTCATTGGAAGTGAGGATTTTGGCAGAAATAAATATTTTTGTTCTCAGTAAAGTTATTCTCTTTGACAAATAACTGATTCACTTACACAGACTTTGCTGGCTGCTGTTAGTTTAGTTCTATTCAGACAATCAGGACCAGCTCACTGTACTGCAACTGGAGCCAGAAAAGTGGCAGACAGTTTTTCAAAGCTTTGTTGTTTTATGACCTTTGGCTGAGTTGAGATGTAATAAGGAATTGAATAGATAGAATATGCTATGTAACAGTGAATCATCAGAGAGAGTTCTTTCTTAATTATGTAAGTGTAAGGGTAATTTATGGTGTGTAACGAGGCTATGGCAGGTGGAAACCCTCTAGGACTTTGAGCTAACAAATTTTCTAGTTGTCATGGAGATCTAGCAAAGATTTTTCTGTAGTTATGAGAGTTATCTAGCAAAAATAATTTATTTTTAAAACTGTTTTTTTCATACAGAGGATTTGACTATGAAATGTCAATTTAAGATGAAGAATGTCTGAGGCTTTCTAACCATTCTTTTGAAATGGGCTTAATCTTTCAGATGCCTACAGACTCTGCTATTATATTCAGTTTGAAATGAAATGTGCAGATTTTTATAGAGAGCTGCAGCAGATATTCAGGGAAATATTTCCTTTGCTGCATTTACCAGATTACAAGAAAGATAGCAGGTTACGTAAGCAAGGAAGATTCTTTCCCCCAACTTTCTATCTTTAAATTCGATTCACTGTAAAACTTGCAACAGCAGTTGGAACTTCCACTCTACTGGCATTTCTGTCATGACCCTCTCCCTTAATAAACCAATACTTTATTTTATTTATCTGTATACTTTTATTTATTTATATTTCTCTTATGTGTTTGTTCAAGGTTGAATTACTGTTGTCTTTTTCCTTCCAGTTTTATTGTTGTTGGTTTTATGTGACTTTTTTTACCGAGTGGCAGTGTTTTTTTATTTGTTATTTCTAATTGATATCCTCTTATATCACTTAATACCATTTTCTTCAAAAATGTCTTAGAAAAATCTCACAGATTCTGTCAGAGATTGTACCATGTTTCTACTTGTCAGCTCAGACATTGTTTGGGAGGGCTATATTAAAACTGATTGTTTCAGCTGCTACTGCCTTTTCCCATTCTGTTTCACAGTGGTTAGGGACTTAAAAATGCAACCATGAAAAGGCTGCTTACTGAGAACCATGTTTTTCTGAGGCTGTCTTGCTCCCAGCTGTTGGTGGGGATCTCTGAGCTGCTCAGGTATTTTCAGCTTGCAAAGAACCCACAGCACACACATGGAATGTTGTTTTTCTGGAGATTAAATTCATGTGCATGTATTCAGTATGAACTGACCCTGGGATCTCTGCTGTGTGCAATTTGTTAGCTGCCATGTGGGAGGAATGAGTTCCTTCTATAATGATAGTGCAGTAAGGCTGGCAACGTGGAATTTTCTGATGTGCTCTGAAGTTCTGATGTGCTCTGAATCTCTGCTAACCATTTTCCTTCCTCCAGGAAACCTATTAATTGAGTAAATAGGTGTAAACATGTGAAAGGGAAATATGAAACATATGAAATGGGTTGGGGACAATTTAGTAACAGTAACTGCCACCACAGGAATCTTGTGTCAATCCATGCATCTCTTGTTGCACCATTGGATCCTCAGAGATTCTTAGGTGTCCGTGTAACCTAACTTGTCTATATCAGGAAAAGTGTATTTTGAACATAAAGTACTCAGTTTTCTTTCATCATTCTTTGGATTTTGGCTAACATGAAGTGAAAAGACTACACACTTCTGTAGTAGTGGTAAACTGAAGTGTAACAGAGTTGCCAGAATCTGCATATTTCTAATAACAGTTTGGTAAGGCATATTTTTGTTTAACAAATATTTAATAAACTCTCATATCTTTTTTGCAAAGCAGGCTGCTTTTTTCATGTTTGTTACCTCTCTTTCTCTGTTACTGACCCATGTTGATAGAAGTTTAGAGTTGTTGGAAAGATGTGACCAACTCTTTTTTTTCCAGTTATAATATCTATTTACCTGACTTGTACTTAAACCTGTTAAATGTTATTTGCTTTGATGCCTTCTCTGACTCTCTTCTCATATTCAGGCTTGCAGTGTTGCAACCATGACAATCATAACATTGCAGTTCCTGTTTTTTTAACCAGTTAAATAATTTGGAATTATGGGGGGGGGAATCATTGGGGGGGGAATCTCTATTCATATGTATGTATAACAAATATATGTGAACGTTGATGTTTATATATATGTCTTTTGTACAATACAAATGAGTTTCAGAAAGTCTTGAGCAAATCTTTTAATCTAAAAATAAGTTAAATTTTGGCAATACATTTTCCAATTAACATACTAAAACCCACCAAAACCAGATGGTCTCTCCTATGACTGCCAAGTGAAAGCGCTTAATAAATTTTTGGTAGCTTCTAATATGTTAACCAAAAAGCTTGCCTTATGTTATGCAGACACTTTTTATGTCTCAAATTGTCATGGTAGGGAATGATTTTCATTCTATCAAATACATTTTTTTTCTTGATACAGTAGTTGTGTCAAATACTAAACACTTAATTTTAAAACAAATTTTGTCTAGCATGTTAATTTGGGAAAACAAGTAACAACTTTTAATTAGGAAAAATTTTATCTTGAGCTCATTCGCTTTTTTGTTTTCAATATTGTTTGTTGAAGTATGTGTTGAAGGTAAGAATAAATTGAAGCAAGTCAGCAATGGTAAAAGGCACTATGTAGAGGTTTTCAATTTTCAATTCTTGTTTCTAAAGTACTACTTTTTAGGAAGAACTAAGAATGCATAATGTCCTGAGATTTTGTTCTTTCTATAAAAATTTAGTAACAAGCTCTTGGCTATCACTCAAGAATAGTCACTCAAGCAGTAATCTACTGAAATGAGATAGCTTGAAGTGCTCATGGCTTGTGTTTTAAAACCTTGGTAGGTTTGTAAGGAGTCTGATTTTTAGTTTATTTTAATTTCCTCTGCCAATTTGTGGAATTGAACTTTTGTGTACCTGCTGCATCTTTCTGAAGTGATAGAGATTTATCTGGGGTATATGATACAGGCTTTTGTTAGCAGATCTGGAGAACAGAGAGAGGAGATCTACAACTGACTTACCTTGCAGATGTCAGTGGTGTGGAAATGCGGTTATTTCTGTTCAGCCCTGTCAGTGCTGGTCTTTAGCTTGTTGCTTTATGAATGCAGTGCACCTGGAGCAGACACAGTGTCATGGCTTAGAGATGGGAGTCTCTCCTGTCTGTCATACTGTGCCCACAACAGGAAAATTTTGTAGCTGTGGTAGCTGTTTCAGTAAAAAATCCTTGGCTTTGTTTCTCCAGTGTGGTATTAGGAAGTATGGGCCTGCATAATGTCTGTGCCTGACTGCAAATTTATGTCAGAAAGGTGCAGAGAAATGAGTGATAAATGTATTACTCAATTTTCACTTAGCACTAAACAATTGCATTAAATTCAGGTTATTACAAATATAGCAGATGAAACAGCTTTTACTTGAGACTTTATAGCCTGAATAAATGTACTCTTTCATTTAGAAGAATTGTTGGTGCAATTCAAAAATAATTTTGCATGCTTAGTTAGTGATGATTGTTACACTTCTCTAACACAAATGTTTTCTGTTACTGCATATTCAGACCCTTTTATTTGTGGAAGTTAATGAGAATTTACTAAAAAGATACCACAAAGGCAACACAAAATTAATATAGTTCAATAATAATTGCTTTCTTAATGTTTGGTTTGACAACAGATATTTAAATGTACAGAAGCAGCTAATTAAATAGAATAAGTGATGGAATAGTAATGCTTAGGTAATTGTTAAATAGTTTCTTTGTTGTCACTATTTCACTGTGTTTAATCACCAGGGATGCTCTCAAACTTCTGCAAGAGAAGCAGAAAGGTAAACCCAGTGAATTGAAACCTGTGGTTTCTCCGGCTCCTGCTGCAGTGCCTTCTCCTTCACAAGCAACAGCTGTGACTTCTTATCCAAGGCCAGCAATTCCACCAGTTTCCACGCCAGGACAACCTGCTGCACTGGTAACACTCCCACTAAGATTTCAGCATTGCTACAGCTGAATAGTGCAATAGTTGCTTCAGTAGCTCTGAGATTTCTAGATCTGGAGAGAGAAAGGAAACTAAGGCCACCCACATGTCAAGCTCAGTGATGTGCAGTTTTTAGTATGTTTCAGTGATTCTGAGTCAATGTAATTAAAACTGTGAAATCCTTGAGGTGATACTCTGCATGAAATGATGAAAAAATTTATATTGCAGGCCTTGGAGAAACTAGAATGATGATTAATTTTTACTGTACTTGATTTGTTTGCTTTCCTGCAAGATCTAAGTGTCCATTAATGAGTTGTCAAGAAGTGAGGAAGGAAAAAGCTTCTTGGTGGTTGCCTTGGAGAGTATTTGTGAAAACTCTAGACCCTAAATAAGTTTCTATGTTAAATTGAAATGTTAGAAATACCAGAAAATATTTTTTTGAGGAGTAAATGCCCTTGCTCAAATGTTCATTATTAGAAATGGCAAAGCTTTTGTGAAAAACATTTTCTGGCTCTAGAACTATATTTGATGTATCTTTTCATGCAGAATTTTACCATGTAGCTACAATGCATAATATTCAGAAAATGTTGCTTTTTTTTTTTTTGCAGTGTACAAAGAGCCAAACAAAGAACTCAAAAGCTCAAACTTATATCCATTACAGAGTAAAACATTTCTATGATTGCACCAGAACATGCATACTGCAATTTATTGTGTGTTGAGTACTATTGAATATGTACTAAGGATTCTATGAAACCTTGTATGTTCAAGGGATATGTGCTAAAGATTAAGTATATAAAATATTTTGCAGAATCATTTATCTTGTTTCTTTCTGTAGTCACTAATATTTTTAAGAGATTTCTTGCAAGTTGACCAGCTTCTAGGAAGAAGTTTGCCGTTAAAATATCTATATATTGGATATGTCTGGGAAGAGAGAGAAGAATAACAGAAATGATGCAGTAAAGCCTATCTTAAGGAACTACACAGGGATTGAAAAAGCAGTAGTTTACCAAGGAAATGTTATTTTCTGGTTTAAATGGAGCAAAGCATAATCTGAGTAATATGCCAAGCCTGGAAGACGGAATAGTGCTTTTATTCTCTGGCTGAAAAGAAATGCCTCAATATTTGGATTTGTGGGTTTTTTTTTAAACAAAGTTAATTCTATACTGTAAAATGGAATTACTCTGTAAAATCTGTTGTGTTGGTCACAGTTAATAGGAATAGACTAGAACACTCAATGATCTTTGTCATATTTATTTCCGTAATTGGAATGCATCACTTTTGGATACTTAGGGGATAGTTGATGTGGGCAGGAGTCACTGATGATAATGCATAAATGCTGGAGCCCTTTCACCAAAAGGGAAATGTGTTTGCTCTCCTGATATTTAATATGCAGGATATGATTTCTTTCAGGGCACATTCACAGAAATCCCAGCTAGCAACATCCGAAGAGTTATTGCTAAGAGATTAACAGAGTCTAAAACCACCATACCTCATGCATATGCTGCTGCTGACTGTGCCATTGATGCTGTTTTGAAATTAAGAAAAGAATTGGCCAAAGGTTAGTAGTCTGATTTGTTTTTCAGTATTCTGTATGTTGGACTCAAGCTGTAGTTCCCAGCAACTATGGAATTGGACAACTTGTCAGGATATAGGAAGACAGGGGTGTTACTCTGCCAAATCACAGTTCACTCTGAAGTCATATTTTCCACAATGATCAGGCTGCATAAGCAAGTAGTGGTGCTCTGGTGATGGAAACATGCACCTCCTAGACTGGTACTAAGTCTGTGACTTGGGTAAAAAAACCTGTTACTTTATAGAGTGAAGAAACAATAGGGTGGTTTTTCTCCTACTATACTTTTTTTTTTTTAAGACCAGAGATTAGTTCAGAGACTGAAGACATTAATGGGAGAACATAGCTGTCTGCAGAAGGGAAAAGTACATAAACATAAAAATTTCACTAGGTTTCTTTAGTGTTGTTCCATTAGTTCTTTTTTCTGGTACCATTTGTGTAGTTTGTTCTCAATAGTTCAGCTTTGAGATGTTTTTCCTCATTACCTCATCACAAGAATGAAAAATTGAGTTTTAGATCTAAGACCCTTCAAGTTTTCATCTAAAGCCTCATGATTTCTCTCATAGTTTAAAAGCTTCTAGGTTCTAATGGTAGCTTTCCTAAGCCATGTGAGCTCTGCATTCAGAATAAAACAGCAGAATAGTTTTAGTTTACATTTTTATTGCTATACTGATTGAGAAACTGAGGCAGACTGTTCTGTACTACTGACTAGCCCATGCTTGTTTATCTGTTTATGGGATCTAAAATTAAATTTGACTGGTATATTCATATTTCCTAGATGATGATACAGGAGCTACTTCTCCTTCCACTGTAATTTTGGGTGACTAATTTTTAATGCAACAGTACCCAGGTCATTTTTCTACTTGTTTTTTTTCATAATGGTGTCTTATTCACAAGTGAATGTCAAAGACATTTTCTGATGCTGATATTTTCTTCAAATAGCAGCAGTTCATAAGGAACGAACCAAAAAAGGATCTTAGGAATACTCACTTGAAATTTTTCACACCTCTCCCACTGTTTTCAATTCTTAATGAATATTTCCTTTAAATGCAGAGGTGAAAAGCCATATGTCTTTTCATGAAATTGAATTGCAGAGCTTGTCTTCGTAGATTTTTTTATGTTTCCTCTGATAAAAACTACGGTATTTTCTAGTACTATGAACTTCAGTGATGTAGGGTAAAATATTACCAGATGTGGATCATTTAACTGTATTCCTGCTCTACTAGTGGACAGTGACATTTTTGTCAAGGGTTAGGAATGTAGTATGTAAACAGAAAACAGTGTATATTTGATGACCAAGGTATAGGTTTGTCTGATGTGACATTCTGTCAGTGCAGCATAGTAATTGCAAGTTCCAATATGTTCTGTTGGAATGCTGTCTCTCTTCTTATACATAGATTACTAATCCTGGCAAATGCTGCAGGCCACTTATGTGGTAAGTGGATACTTGGTTCTCTCCTCCAAATTTGTGATGACTGAATGTTTCACTTGATATAATTATCTATAAATTACTTTCCCTTGCGAAAATATTTCTAAAGGTATGTGTGTTACATGCCATAAACCAGATTTGAAAGTTAAGCAGTTCTGCTGCTTGATCAGTTTTGTTGTAGTAGTGATGGTGGTGGAAGGATAATGTAGTTTTTTTAATTGTGAGACTGGTGAGTTTAATACTGCGTAAATGTCATGCATTTCAGGGTAATCTTATGGCCTAATCTGCTTTGTATCTATTATCCCTGCTTCTGCTGCCACTCCTGATTTTAGTTATCAGTTTCAGTCTCCTGAAACTCTCCTGAGTGTCTCTGCATGAGAATTTTCTTTATGGATATGCCTTTGTCCCAAGGAGGAAAAATGTTTTCTTGCTTTTATTATTGGAATTTGAAGATAAGTGTCTTTCTGTTAATGTTTCAAATAAGTATATCTGCTGAATCACTGGAATCTTGTCATCAGACAAATGCCAATAAAGCAAATCATATGAACAATGCCTGTTACCCTTTTTTTTAATTCTTCTATTTCCTTTTGCAGATGACATTAAAGTATCTGTAAATGATTTTATTATCAAGGCAACAGCAGTTACTCTGAAGGTAAGCAAATGATTTGCTTTAAAAATATATTTTAATAGTAAACTGCCAAGGAGACAAGAAGAGTATTTTGTGAGTCTATATGGAGGTCTGAATGGGATCACAGTAAAGCTGGTAATTCTGTATTGCTTATTGTCAGGTTTTTTATGTTTCTAGGTAAAATTCTCTTCACTGTCTATGCTGTGAACTGTAAAAATGAAAACTTCTTAGTGAAGATCCACTTACTGTAGTTAACATCTGCAAATCACAGTAGTTGCTTTGTCAGCAGACCAAAGCTATTGTCAAGATCATTAATCTAATCTTAGTTATTTCTTTTAGTTATAAACATTTATCTAAGTCTTACACCAACCTTGTTATTACCTCAAGTGTATTCTGACAGCATGTTCAGTGGTACTTACTTTGAAATAAAATTCTTCTGGCAGCCACTATGCTCATTGCTAGGAATTCTCATTGCCTGGATTACCTCACAATGATATAAAAATGTTGGAAAGGATTAGAGAGCTGTTTTTCTCATTTGTGAGGATAATTTGAACTATTTAAAAGTTGAGAGAGGAATTTATGTTTAAGTTGTGGAACTATTCGTATTCCTATGGATGTATGGAATTGAGAGAACACTGGGCTGGAAAAGACTTAACAGACTTCTAGCTGAACATGTACTAAATATTAATGTATAGTTTTAAGAAATATAGCTTAGGCATAGCTTAATGTATAATTGCTGTTTGGACAGAAAATAGACAGGATTCTGGGCAGTTTCATAAGCAAGTGCCTGAGAGAAATTTGAGGCCGTATTTACACTGGAATAAAACTCTGCAAGTTAATACCAAAGACAAAAGGAGGAGCCAAATACGTCTGCTGTACTTCTGTCAGGTGTATATGTAACAAGAAGCTTCTTTTAGTGGCCTAGTGAAACCTTTGGGAGGAAATGGTGACAGCCAAAGTTTGCCATCAACTGCTGTGAGTGTTGGATGACTTCTCTGCACCAGAGAGCGGGTGGAAGGAATTGAGACAGAGAGCAAGAGATTGTGTTTTGTGTTCTGAGGGGGTTGATAGCTTTTGAGGTGATAATAATATTGTGTTGATATGGAAGGAAACAATAAAATTCTTCTATCCTATTGCTTTGTTAGAAATCTATGCTAGCATTTGCTTGACTATTACAATAACACATTAAAAAAAACCCCAACATATTTAACTCAGTATGTCAGGAAACAAGTTCATGATCAAGCTCATGTCCCATCTACTTTGTCAGCATTTCAGGAAAAGATGTGGGCAATTGCTTTAAAAAAGAAAACACACTTACACCTGTACCTCTCCCCCCTGAAACAGGGTGGTGCAAATACATCTTCAAGTTTAAATTCAAGGCAGTTTCACTGACTCTTTTCTGGGGACTCTTCAGACAATATTTTGCTACTATTTTATTTCTGAACAATGAAAAATGTGTTCTAGCTTTAAAGAGCTGACTGCAGCTGGCTTGACAGTTTGATTATTTGGCACACACCTCAAGATACTGCTTGTATCAGTTCTTGAACATGCTAAATTTCTCCTTCATTTATGATATCACAAGTCCAGTTATGAGTTCTGTGTTTCAGCTTTGTCTTGCTATTTGATAGCCAGGATTTTATGAATGTGCCAGTGGGCTTACCAGGTAGACAGCCCAGTAGAGCCATTCTTCCTTCTGGAACAAGGAGGGAGAGAAGTACGGAGGAAGGAACTAAAATTTCCAGGCTGATATCCTCAAGTGTTTGGGCTTCATAACAACAGCTCCTATAGCAATCATCCTTTAAAAAGAAATCTTTCATTGTTGAAGTGACAAATTCCATCCCTACCATCTATTTTAAATATCTTTATATAGAGTTGCACAGTACCCACTTCAGGGTATCTTACAAGTGTGTAAACCATGGGACTTCTAGAAGTTTATTTAGTTTGCAAAGAAGAGTACTAAATACTTCTATTATGTTTTCTCTTTTATTTTTATTTTTTATTTACACTATACATTCTGGCGTTGAAGAATAGGAACTTGGAGTACCATCATACTACTTCCTAGGAGTGCTGTTACTTTAGATAGACAGTAGAGTCACTTTTGATAGTGTGTCCCTCCTGTTTTTTCTGGAATACCTTCTTCATTTCATTAAACTCAAAAAAACTAAAAGAAATTATCAGTATGCATCTCAATTTTAACTTAGTCCACCCACAAAAAAAATATGGTGCATTTTAGGAGAACATATGAATAACAGTGAGTGTACCTGCAGCACATTTTATTTGTTGAGAATCATGCTTGAAAATCATGCAGTGAAAAACAACACATGGGTACAGTAGAATGTCTATTTCCATGCTTTAAAATTCAGCATCCTGTGATTTATTTTGTGGGAGACGTTGCACCACTTTGAAGCTTTACATGCTGAGCCATCATAACATGGTATCAGTGAAGAAATTTGTAGTAATTTGGATTTTTTTTTTCCTAGGAACACCAAACAAACTTCTGTCTGTCTAGCCATTCTTAGTTTCTGGTGCATACATTTCATGCTTTTTGACAAAGTAAATGTAAATAAAGTCAGTGCAAGCTAATTCACTTGGTGGATGCCTGTATGTAGATATGTGTCTTAAAGGAATTTCCTTTTTCTTAATAGCTGATTGCACTGTTATTCTTCTAACAGCTGTCTCTTTTTTAATTTTCTGCATTTTAGCAAATGCCAGATGTGAATGTAACATGGGATGGGGAAGTCTGCAGGCGGCTGCAGTCCATTGACATCTCCATTGCCGTGGCAACGGACCGAGGGCTCATTACGCCAATCATAAAAGATGTTGCTGCCAAGGGAATAAAGGAAATTGCTGCCTCTGCAAAGGTGGGTCTGAAATGTGCAGCAGGCTGAGGAATAGAGCAGCTGTATGGTTTTCTGTAGCAGAAATTGTAGCATGACCCAGATACACATCAGTAATAACAAAGGCAGTGGATCTAAAGCAGTTTCAGCATTACTTACACTTCAAAATTCTTATTAATTTTGCAACTCTTTTCATTTTTAATCAACAATAATATCATGTTATTTAGTTGAATGGTGACTAGACTGCTTGAAAAATGAACCTGTACAGACTTTTTCAATTAAATATAATTGTATTTAATCCTCAAGAGAAGGATACTTAATGCTAGTTTCATTACTATTTCCAGTCTTGAGGTTTGAGATTTTGGGTTGTGTTTTTTCCTGTTCCCAGAAAATTTTTCATGTCTGCTATTTTACTCTCTTTGCAGTTATACTATAGAATGTATTTCCATCTGCATTTTTTTAAATATGCAGTTCAATTAAGGATGTGACATTAAATTCCTCAGACTAATGAGCAGTATTTTGCATAGACCAGGTGCCAGTCACAGTGATATGTTGCAGTTGTTGCCAGATAAAGGAGTGGGTTTTGGCAGACAAAGTAGAATGAATGATGAAATGTCCCAACACAGGCCTTTTCTTGTCATTTAATGACTGCTAATCAAAGGCCTACAGTATCTGAGGAATGCAATGGAAGCAGATCCTAGGGCATAAAACTGTTCCCAAACTAGATACCACTGCACTTTGTAAATGCTTGCCTTTTGTGTGAAACTACAGAAACCGTAATAGTCTGTGGTCACAGAGGGGAACAGCCAAAATGCTGTAGCAGAAAAAGATGGGTCACACCACAAAGCATTCATAAATGGGTGTTTTTAAGATTTTTTTACCAGTCCATATTGGTTACTTTATGCAGAATGTATTGTGAAAACAGTTCCTTACACTAGTAGCCACTTGAGGAAGAAGGTCAGCTGATATTGTTGTGGGGTTAGTGATAGAATGAAGAAGAAAAGTATTGTTCAGTGTTGTGGTTTCGTTATCATACCCAATACCTGCAATAGTGTGAGGTACTGCAAACCTCCCTTACCACAAATCAATGTCCTGCAGTTCCTGTGATGGAAATGCAGCTTGTGTTACCTTCAGTAGGGCCACAATAGTGAGCATTCTCCTTGCCTTTCAAGGGGAATATGTGTGACATAGGTGTCCACACCAACATCATTTTGCGTTTCGATTTCTTCACTGAATTACTGAAATAAATATGTACCTGACATGCACAAGGGGGAGGCTCTGGAACTGCAGCTGCTTCTCTGTCAGTCTCCCTGGAGTTTGGCAGGCACTTTCTTTTTTGTGTAATTGCTTATATATCCCTTTCTGCTGCATGATAATTTTTACTTCTTTCCAGGTCATGTGCATCCTGGCACTGTATTTACATCATTCAAATAATGCAATTGCACAGATGCATCATGCTTATATTGACCCCGTTGTGTGAATGCTATTCCCATGGCTATTGCCTTGACTAATTATTCAGAGATGAGAAAAAGCGTAAAATGAAGCTCAAAATAAAGTGTCCTTGTAACTTTGACATGCTTATTATGATTTTTCAAAGTTTTGTACAACTCTGATCTTGTCTTGGAATGTAGTGTGAATTTCTTGGGCTGTATTTGAACATTTCTTCTGTTGAATTTTAAAGGAAAGTCTCACAAATGAAATGGAGATCACAGAAGGAGTGGCCTTAAAAGGCACCATTCAAAAAGTAGTTGATGGTTTAGCTGGGAGAAATAAATTCATAGAAAGTTCTGAAATGGTACATGTCAGTTTCTTTAAACAAATATTTTAGGAATACTGTGTGTATATCAGTATTTTGCTAGATAATCTAAGACCACCGGGGAGCATGGTGCTTCCATTGTAAAAACTGGAACAGTATTTGTAAAGTGAGAGAACAGCTTTTATTGAACAACCAATATTGGTATGAAAACGAAGTTTTGTTGTCCTAGTCCAAGTCAAATTATTGCAGTCTTAGTCTCTTTGCCAAATCATTGCAGAGAGAGCAACAGTGTTGCTGAGGTGCTTCCCTAAATCCAAAAGCAGGTGTCTTTTGCTGATTTAATGTCTGTATGGTACTTAAAACATCTTACTGAAATAAAAAGAATTAGTCTATTACAACACACTAATTTCTTTCTTTTCTCTGCTGGTTTTCTTCTTTGATTTTCTTTAGGCTCTAGCAAAGAAAGCCAGAGATGGAAAACTGTTACCAGAAGAGTACCAGGGAGGATCTTTTAGGTAAAACTAGCAGCATTTAATACGTGCAGCATGGGTTCAGAGCCGTTTTATCCTCAGCTATTCCATTGTCTTTTAATGCATTGCTTCTAAAATCTTGCTCTGTTTAGGATGAAACTCCATGTGATGATTCTGAGGGTCAAACCTAGACCGAGTGTCTTGTCTCAGGGAGAAACAATTACCTTGGTACAGGTTCATTTCATCTGTACTTGGCATTGGTGAGGCCACACCTTGAGCCCTTTTCAGCTTTGGTTCCATCCCCTCAAGAAAGACATTGAGGTGTGCTGGAGTGTGTCCAGAGAAGGGTCTGCTGGAGCACAAGTCTTATGAGGAACAGCTGAGGGAACTGGGATTGTTTAGTCTGGAGAAAAGGAGGCTCGAGGGGGACCACATCACCCTTCACTCTTTCTGCCTGAAAGGAGTGGAGTAGTAATGAGGTGTGGCTTGGTCTCTTCTCCCAGGTAGTAAGTCACAGGAGAGGAAATGGCCTCAAGTTGCACCAAGGAAAGTTTAAATTGGATATTAGGAAAGAATTCTTCATTAAATGGATTGTCAAGCATTGCAACAGGTTGTCCAGGGAAGTGGTTGAATCACCATCCCTGGAAGTGTTTGAAAAGCAGGTGGATGTGACACCTGAGGACCTGGTGTAGTGGTGAACATGGCAGTGGTGCCATTTGATGGTTGAGCTGCACCATTTAATCGTTTTTTCACTCTTTGCCATACCTATAACCAGAAAGGAGGAGATGGTGTGCCAGCTTTCTCCATAGATAACTTGTCACAGTAGAGTCCAAGCCTAATATACCACTCTACAGGTGGTGACATGGACAGAAATGTTTTTCATGTGCCTGAGTGATACCTAGATGCCCAAATTTATTCTCTTAGTGGATACCAGCCACCATTGTAAATTGCAGTTTTGAGGTCTAGTCTAAAACACATTTGGTTTGGAACAGGTACAGGCAAAATATATTTCAAGATCTTGCTTTGCTGGCTTACTTTCTGACTTCAGTGTGTGCAGTGCAAGAATATATTGCTGTAAAGAAATGGGCCTTCTAAAAGGTGCATTATTTTTAATTTTAAAAATTCCAAACCCTTGAGAGTCTGAATGTGCTCAACTGAAAACAGTTCAGATCTATTTTTAACTTAATGAGTTTTGCCTTGAAGGGGATTTAATTGTAGTAGTTGTTAAATATAGATTCTTTCTTGTAGGGAGTATGTAATTTCTGATGTTACTGAAACTCTTTTCTGTTTTATTTAGTATCTCAAATCTGGGCATGTTTGGCATCAGTGATTTCACAGCAGTCATAAACCCTCCTCAGGCCTGCATCCTCGCTGTGGGCCGAGCAAGAGCAGAGCTCAAGATCGTGGAAGATGAAGAAGGGAATGAGAAACTTGAACAGCATCAACTCATGACAGTGACTCTTTCGAGTGATGGTCGAGTTGTAGATGATGAACTGGCTTCAAAGTTTCTGGAGACCTTGAAAGCCAATATAGAAAATCCAATGCGACTGGCCTTAAATTAAACTCAGTGAAGATTGCTTCCTGTTTTGACAACATAGATAACTATTATATACTTAGGGTTGTTTTTCTGTATAGAGGAGTAAATAGCTGAAGACGGACAGTTAAAAATATTTAATTTATGAATTAATGTGAAACACCCATGATTTTAGTCTTCTGTAATAACCAGGTTTCGTACTGCAAAGCTAAAAGACTAAAGTACCACATTTATTTAAACACATAGTACCAATGGTTTGCATAGAATAGTCAATCTCTAAAATCTCTGTAAAAAAAACCTCAATAAAACTTTATGAAATATTAAAGGGAATAATAGAATAATTTGAGTTGGAAGGGACCTGTAAAGGTTGTCTAGTCCAGCTTCTCCTGCAATGAGCAGGGATGTCTTCTGAGCCCCACCCACCCTGATCTTGAATGTTTCCAGAGATGGGGGATCTTCTGCCTCTCTGGGCAACCTGGTCTGTCTTTTACCACCCTCACTGTAAAAATCTTCCTTATATCTAGTTTGAATCTACCTGCTTTCAGTTTAAAATTATCGCCCCTTCTCCTATGGCAACAGGCCCTGCTAAAAAGTTTGTTCTAATCTTTCTTAAAAGCCTCCTTTAAGTATTGTAAAAAACAGAACTTAATTGTGCAAGCAGTATTCTCATAGAGGTCCCAGTATGAAAGGTCAAATTTTGCACACTGAATAGTTGCTGATTAATGCTGTTCTTTGCATGGATGGAATGTAGGTGTAAGTAGAAGGTGTTTCATCATCAGTGTATATTGAAATGTAACTTGGAGGCTCAAGTGCAGTGGCCTGAATTTTAACAGAATTAGATTGGCATCTTTCCTATATATAAATGTGGAACCACATATTGCATGCAAATGTTAAAAAATAACTGTGTTTACAGGACCTCATGAGAATATAAATTGTCTATAGAATTATGGGAGTTTGTCTTATTCTGGTTTGTGCAAATGCTTTTTCCTAATGATTTGTAGGAATTATGGCAGCAGCTCAACAAGTAAACAACTACTTGCAAGATAACCTTTACTTAACACTGAGGTGAGAGTTTTTGCTAAATGAGTTTGCTTCTTAAGCTTCTTCTGATATCATAAATTTCACAAATTATTAGTCTGACTGTAGGGAGAGATTTTTGATTACCAGATACAGCTTACTGTACAGGAATAGACATAGCCATTCTGTATTTCCACGAGTTTCTTATTGATAAACCATATTAAAGGTTTGTTTCTGAGGATTTATTTGCAATTTGAAGTGGTTCAATTCCAATTTTTCCAAAGCTGTTTGACAACTTCATATTACTGTGAAAAAAAAAAAAAGACCAATTTCTATATTGTCCTTAATGTACAAGAGGCTCTCATTATTTGCTGAATCTGCTCTGCCCAGGAGAATTTTTCAGGCCAATCATCAATCTGATTTCCTGCTTTTCACTTGTGTGTGTGTTGCTGCAGTGGCGCTCTGTGTTCCCCAGCATCCCCAGGTGCTGCTCCCGCAGGTGAGGGCTGCATGGCTCTCTGTGCCAGTTCTGCATGTGCTGCCATCCCTTCTTGCGAGGCAGTGCTTTTCCTGTGCCCTCGGAGCCACTGGAAGGCGCTGCTGCATGTGAGCGTGCGATGGATGTGTGTCCTGTCTCACCAGAGTGCGTGCTCACGTCCACTGTGCTGTCCCAGCAGGCAAGGCAGTTCTCCAAGTTAAATCTTCGGATCTTCAGAACTGGGCAAGGCTAATACAAGCTTGAATTGCAGATTCTTTACACTTGCCTGCTTTGCCAGCATTGTTATTTGAAGCGGATAGAATTTGTCAGTCATCAGCCTGTGAAGGAAATGTGTGGAATTCAGACGTGTGATAGCAGTCAGATCTCCTTAATTCGGAGGAAATATACCCTTTGGCAGCATCTGTTGCTTCAACAGGAGTGAGACAGCAAATGCCTGCCCATACAAATTAAATATTCAGTATCCTCTTGATGATTTGGGATAAAAACAATGGGTCAGTTACCAGAAAGTGAGTAATTGGTAGTGGGGTATGCTTGCTTTAGAAGCAAATTTTCCTCAAAGTAAAATTTTCACAGATGAAAAATTTAGCCTTCTGTGTTTTATTCTTTCAAGTGTCTTCTGACAGCCTATTCTTTACATACCAAAGCAAGAAATATAAGAAAGACATATTTCTTGAGTAATTTTGTAAAAAGCATTAAAATTGAGTATATTAATATGTGCTGGAAATGTGTGCCTTTAGGATACTATCTTTATATCATTTCTCATTGCAGGAGCCATGATTAAGGGGAAAAAAAAAAAAAGATAGGTATTTTAATCTTTCTGATTGTTGGCAAATCTTGAGTTGTCCAATCCCTAATTGCAATGTCAGAATATTTGACTTTTGGGTTTGTTTTTTTTTTTTTTCCTGCCATCATCTCCTTAAGAAATAAAACTTCTGTAATTTATCTTCCTGCTTGATGCTGTATCCTGCACCTCAGGATACAGTTGGCGCTTTTGGCTGCCAGGGCACGCTGCTGACTCATATGCAGTGATGTTCTATTCCATTTGTCCCTAAAATGTTGAAGGCATAGAAAGCAGATTCCTCTAAGCCAGTATAGCAGTTACATCCATAAAAGATTAAACAGGAAAAAACTTGATAAACTGAAAGTGTCTTTCAGCATGTTCTTTAGTTAAGCATAAGTTTTGAACTTTAAACTCAGGATTTCTTTCTCTGTAGTCATGCTTGAGTGAAGCACGAGGCTATTCATGGTAGCCTGTGAGAGATGTGTAGAAACATGTCCAAGAAACACAGAAACTTAGGATTTGGGTGAAATCACGTGTTGATTAAACTGGGGTGAAAATCACTTACTGGAAGCTTGACAGGCTACTTTGCATGTTTACTTTACAAAAATCTACATCTTTCATCTTTCTCAGTGAAAAACCATCACTATTTGCTTGAACTGAGTTTGTGCTCCTTCGCTTTTACGTCAATTTTGTTTCAACTTGTAGGTGTCATGGTACATAATTATTCACATACAATAACCACACTGTTCTTCCCTTTCTCCATAGTAATGGCCCTACCTGTCAAGTTAAACATTTGTGTCATTATGAGACAATAACTACCTGGAAAATCAAGGACATTTCTGTTTGTTCTGTACTAAGGAAAATGATTCATGCTATGTTAACAAATGCCACTATTTATCTCCTTAAAAGATAAGAGAACAAGAGAAGATTCCCTTTTATATTTTGGAAGTTTTTCTTGTGGCTTAGGAAGAAAGGGCAGCGGTGAACATTTTTATTTCTGCTCACTGTTGTATGAAGAATGAAGTGAATTGTTAGAGCAGCAGATCCTTCCTGCAGTTTCATGGTTTTCGCATTGTCTGTGTGATGTGCATTACAACACACTCTCCACTTCTCTTTGCAGGGATCTGAGCAATTGAGGGATACTCTCCATTGACCTAGCCATCAATTAATTCCTGTTTCAGTTGCCTATTTTAAGAAATAATTATGTTTAATTTTGGAGCCTTGGTACTCTTTTATTTTCTCCTCTGCCAAATAAATTATAAGCTTACATATCCGAGGAGGCTGTTTGCTTGTGCAGATGCTTATGCTTGCTGTATCATGTCCCAGTCTGCATTAGCAGCATGTGCTGACTTACTGGAGGTTTCAGCAGACAGCAACATGCTGTTTCCTCCTCCTTGCCTGGAGAATAGGAACTAACACAGATCCCTGGGTTGATCAGGAAAAGAACTCTTCTTACACTCTTGAGGCTTGAAACTTTCGGCTTACAGTGTGAATTTCAGCCTGATATTCTGAGTGCAATATGTTACTTGCTCATTCTAGGATACTAGGAAATAATTGTTCAGTACCTTTACTCTTCCTTTAAAGTACAAACAATGCACAGATTCAAGTGAAAGTAACATTCAAATTCTACCCTACACCCTCCCCCCAAGAGTGTTTAGAGAGAACCAACTTGCAGTTATTTTGGAGTCAATTCAGAAGTTAATTGTTTGTGCCCAGGGAAATTCATCAGATGTTTTAACACCTTTAACACCCTGTTGACAAATGTAGAAGAATTACAGCTTTTTCAGGTAGGTTTGGAGCCTTTCCTCTGTCAATATTTCTATATATTTCTAATAATATTAATTTCTATAATATTTCTAATATAACTACCACAGTCTTCAAAGCAGGTGGCATCTTACTCAAGCTCATAACAAGGGCTAACGTTTGAATGACTCCCTGGCTGCAGCAGAAGAAACATTTCTGGATATGTGAAGTTATCTGAAACAATGCTTTAAGGTCCTCCTTGGCTGCTGTCCATGTGTATTTGTATGCTCTCTGACAGCTGCAGACAGAGGCCACAAACAGAGGGTTGAGGCCCTCTTAACTGAAGTGGATAATACTCATAGAAGAGGAGTGATTATTGAAATTCACCTGTTAGGGCTGTCTCAAATATTATTCACATGGCTTAAATTTTAAGTGTAGTCTGAGCTGCCAAAAAGTCTGAACTTTAGCCAAAGACTAAATTTAAGCAGCTGCAGGAAGACATCTTTAATTTTGAAGACAATCCCTATTGCGGAGGGTAGAAGAGATGAAAGAAAGTCAAGAGAAAGGAGTCTTTTTTACCTGTACTTGAACAGTATTCTTTGTGTAGCATTATCTCTATTTTATTCACTATCAGGGAGTGCCTGGATTTCTTTAAGCCAAAAAGTATAAGCAGATGATCTCTGCCTATGTAATTGTCATAGGCAAACTCTGAAGGAAATAATACTTCAAAACTTTAATATTCCATGATGCATTTAGAAAGGGAATTTTACCTCTTGGACCTCCTTTTAAAGGAAATGCATAATTCCCATGTATCTGTATGTGCAGAGACAGACTGGTAAAACCATCTGCTGCTTTTTCAACCATGTTTGTTAAAGCCTAGCAGATTTCGGCTACAGGATGAACGGGGGCAGGCTTCTGAATTCCCCTGCTGAGACTTCAACATTTCTGCTTTAATGTTCATGTTTCGATGTGTGTGTGTACAGGTACAACACTGGGGGAGGCCTGAGAGAAACCTGCCCTGATTACATGAGAAGAGAGTAATTGCAACATTGCATCTGTTGCTCAAACACAAGTGATGAGACAGGTGCAATGATAGCTGGGAGCAAATACTCTTGGCTAAGAGAGATACCCTGAAGAATCTGTGAAGCAATCTTTGGGTGACAAAGCAGCCTTCACTTGTACCTACCTCATCACAGGATTTTGGGGCTGTGGAGGAAGGAAGAGTTGTCTTGTGTTAGAATAATTTGTCTCATGCACTTGAACAGGTTTTAAACATTTTATATTTTTTATTTTTTGTAAATAATAAAAAGACAACTAACCAAGTAAAACCTGCAATTGTTGCAGAGTTAACTTACAGTTAAATCTAACAGTCTAGCAAACATATGGTATTGGGACTGATTTAGGCATGGGCTAAGCCATTATTTTTCTCTGTACTTTTCTAAGCATGAGTCCAGTTTAATTTTTAAGCTCTCTAAAGTGGTAATTGTCCTCCATAGTGGATATATGCACTATAAACAGCTCAGTAGTGTGTGTCTGTATACCATTTAAATCAAACTAGTCATGGATGGTAATTGACAATTTACTTTTATTTTCAGAATTGTGGCATCAATGCCACAGGAAATGCCATCTCTAAAATAACATCAAGCAAAACAAACAAAAAACCAACCATTGAACTAAAACCCTCCTCCTGAATAGCTATAATGCTCTACTGAGTTTGCCTAACTAGTGCCAGAAAGTGACATTAGGACAGGAAAACCTTAACTTTTGGAGAACTCAGTGACAAAAGAACTCTGGATTCTTGTATATCCAATGACTGGGAGGGTGGGGAGTGTTAATTTTGGGTTTTGGGGTTTTTTTTCAGTTTTTAGATTAATTAAATACAGAAAAATGAGGCTTTCTTATAAGTGACAATTTTTTCCCATAGCAACCACAAATTCTAGTTACAAGTTCTAGAATATGTTCTCTTGACTATGGAAATTTTAGGGGTTTCTTCTGAAGTTCTTGTGGTATTAAAAACAATTGTTTTCATGTGGTTTGCCATTATTTTTGTGGTAGTTTAGAATGCTTGGCTGGAGTTTCATAAGTGGAGAACAGATTAAACAACCATAGACTGCAATTTTCTTTTCTCAAAATATGCAACTTCTAGGTGAGTTTTCTGGAGTAGGTGCCGCTGTCATCAACAGTAGAAAATATAAATACAGCCTTTTTGTAGGATCTCAACCATTTGAG